TTTTTGGGTCTGTGGGGGGCTCTGTGGTTTTTCCCTTGTCTCGGATTGAAGTTGGTGGTTGGGGATATCCCTCTAGTGGTGCGGGGGCTGTGCTTTGGCGGAGTGGGTGGGGTTATATCCTTCCTGTTTGGCCCTGTCCGGGGGTTTCTTCGGATGGGGCCACAGTGTCTCCGGACCGCTCCTGTCTCAGCCTCCAGTATTTATGCTGCAGTAGTTTATGTGTCGGGGGGCTGGGGTTAGTTGGTTATACCTGGAGTACTTCTCCTGTCTTATCCAGTGTCCTGTGTGAATTTAAGTATGCTCTCTCTAATTCTCTCGTTCTCTCTTTCTCTCTGAGAACCTGAGCCCTAGGACCATACGTCAGGACTACCGGGCATGATGACACCTTGCTGTCCCCAGTCCGCCTGGCCTTGCTGCTATTCCAGTTTCAACTGTTCTGCCTGCGGCTACGAAACCCCTACCTGTCCCAGACCTGCTGTTTTCAACTCTTAATGATCGGCTATGAAAAGCCAACTGAGAGACCTGAGCCCTAGGACCATACGTCGGGACTACCGGCCGTGGTGACTCCTTGCTGTCCCCAGTCCGCCTGGCCTTGCTGCTATTCCAGTTTAAACTGTTCTGCCTGCGGTTATGGAACCCCTACCTGTCCCAGACCTGCTGTTTTCAACTCTTAATGATCGGCTATGAAAAGCCAACTGAGATTTATTCCTGATTATTATTTGACCATGCTTGTCACTTATGAACATTTTTGAACATCTTGGCATGGTTCTGTTATAATCTCCACCCGGCACAGCCAGAAGAGGACTGGCCACCCCTCATAGCCTGGTTCCTCTCTAGGTTTCTTCCTAGGTTTTCGCCTTTCTAGGGAGTTTTTCCTAGCCACCGTGCTTCTACACCTGCATTACTAGCTGTTTGGGGTTTTAGGCTGGGTTTCTGTACAGCACTTCGAGATATTAGCTGATGTAAGAAGGGCTATATAAAATAAAAATTGATTGATGGTTATGGCGGTGGATGAATGGCACGACAATGAGCTTCAGGATCTCGTCACGGTATCTCTGTGCATTCAAATTGCCATCGATAAAATGCAATTGTGTTCGTTGTCCGTAGCTTATGCCTGCCCATACCATAACCTCACTGCCAACATGGGGCACTCGGTTCCCAACATTAACATCAACAAACCACACGTCGCCATACACACCGTCTGCCATCTGCCCGGTACAGTTTAAACTGGGATTCTTCCGTGAAGAGCACACTTCTCCAGCATACAAGTGGCCATCGAAGGTGAGAATTTGCCCACTGAAGTCGGTGACGACGCCGAACTGCAGTCAGGTCAAGACCCTGGTGAGGACGACGAGCACGCAGATGAGCTTCTCTGAGACGGTTTCTGACAGTTTGTGCAGAAATTCTTAGATTGAGCATACCCACAGTTTCATCTGCTGTCTGGGTGGCTGGCCTAAGACAGTCCCACAGGTGAAGAAGCCGGTCCTGGGCTGGCGTGGTTACACGTGGTCTGCAGTTGTGAGGCCGTTTGGACGTACTGCCAAATTCTCTAAAACAAAGTTTTTTTTAGGCTGCACTGACTGCTGTTACCGAATCTTGTCCTATTCTTAGGCTACTTATCATATTAGGAATTGTATTTTATTGTTAGCCTGCAAATACTTTATTATAAAGGTGATTTTATTTTATTTCCCCAACCAATAAGACTGCTGAACAGCTAAACAACGGCTGCCCACCCTCTCCCCTGTACCATCTGTACAGACTATGCTCAGTTACTGACACTCCTGCACAAACACGCATATATACACAAACACACACACTCAATGACTCCACACACATACAACCACACTCACACACACACACTCATCCCCATGCACACATACCCACTCACCTCATACGCTGCTGCTATTTTGATTATTATTGACTATTATTACCATTATTATTTATCCTGCTACAGTCCCTTTTACCCTTGTTTACATCCACATATCTTCCTCAATAACTCCAGTACCACTGCACACTGTAATTATGGTACTGGCACTGAGCCTGTATAGCTTGCATTCTTGTGTTTTCCCCCCTGTTTTTCTTGTGTTTTTCTTACTTTGACCACATTGTACCAATTCACATGTACCCATTCTTTATGGAGATATAGCCATTAGAACCAATGGACCTGGTTGGCGGCCATTTTGGAAAACTACCCAGTAAGCAAAATTATGTTGAAAAGATGTCACCTTTTAGACGTCCTTTCCAGAAGTTGTCATTAGGTTCATTTTAGGTTCTGAATGAAAAGTGAAAATAAGTATTTTCCGGACGTTGAAAATACCTATTTTCTGGATGTTGAAATCAGGTTGAATGCACTGACTAAGTCTCTCTGGAAGGATAACGTCAAATGACCAAAATGTAAATGTAAAAACAAACACTTGCAAAACATGCTGGGCATTATCCTAAAGAGCTCCGTCCCCAAACAAGTTCAAATTTGGTCGGTCTAGACTCTAGACTATGTTTCAAAGTCTGAACAGTACAGTACAGCACAGTAGAGTACAGTACAGTTTAGTTCAGTACATTAGAGTAAAGTAGGGTACAGTACATTATACTGTACTATAATCTACTGTGCTGTACTGTACTCTACTGAACTATACTTTTCTTTACTGTGCTCTACTATATTGTACAATATTGTACCGTACTGTACTTTATACTATACTCTACTGTACTGTAATGCAATGTACTGTACTCTGCTGTGCTCCACTGTACTGTGATGTCCAAACTTGTAAAACATAGATGTCTATGATTGATTCAGCTTTCAGTGGAGTAGTCCCCAACAACCAGAACATGTTCCGGTTTTAAGGGGAAATGGAAAGAGAGCTTGTGATGCAACTTCCACTTTTGGACGTTAACAAGGCGACACTCCATCTTAACTCCTCCTCCACAATTACTAGATTGTTTGAACAGTGCAGAAGAGAACCTCCCCCGACAGTAACCGTCCTCCGTCCTTTCTCCTCCGTCCTCTCTTCTCCGTGACCCAGTAACTGATAAGTGGTCGAGGAGTTTGTCAATTCGTTAGTAAGATAGATTATAAAAGTTGTCAAACTTGAGACTACATGTCGACTGCATGAACTTGACAAAAGTCATGTGATGAAGGTCATGCAATTTTTTATGAAGTCACCAAGTCGCTGCAGTTGCTTCTCACCAACTCCACCATGCAGCCATCACCTGCATTGTGGGAGGCACTATTTGTCAACCAATCATTAGGGTGTTTTTGTTTGACCCACGCGAACGTGGCCAAAGACTTGAATGAAACAGGAACCAATTTTGCAGAGATTCTAAAGCTACAGGGGCTACAGGGGATACAAATGAAAGTGATATCTGAGACCTCTCTCTAACCAACTAATTGTATACACGTTGTTTTCAACCTCAAACAACATTTTCCCGGGAAACCCAATTCACCATTCAACCACTTCCGAAATCCCTTCACAATGATCTCAAACTGTTTCTAATACACAATTAAATTAAACACAGACTACCCCTAGCTAATCAGGAAACTCTTGGGTATGTTGTGGTGGACTGTCATTACAATTGCCTCACGGGAACCTGGTAAAATGATATGAGTCACTGAATGGCTCTGAATTTACTGTCAGCATGCAGTCAAAGCTATATAATCGCTTTTGGAGGTAACTAGCTATTGCTCAAATTGTATCCTTACGTCAACAGCAGATGGGAGTTGTATTCATAACATTGCTAACTTAACTAACATATTTTGAGAAAACAAGTTATATTAAGTGGCTAATTAGCTAGAGTTAGCAACATTTGGTGGTCAATGAGACAGAGCTAACATTAGCTAACCAGCTGCGCTAGCAAACAATGTTACAAAAGTATAATTTCAAGTAATATTCCATCAACACGCTCATTTCAGGCATCACATTAGCAAGTACTCTTGCTGCACTGTTCAATTATTTAGCCATTTCAAAATTTTATTTTTTGAAGAAAACGTTTGCCATAGCCCTCACTGGCTTTCATGCGATTTAACCCAATGAGTCCCACCCCGACGCTGGCGCGATTTGGACTTCTAACCCTTTTTAAACATTGTGTGTTTTTTGAGCTACAGACTTCTATACCATTGGATTTGTCTATTTCTTCTGCATCAGTTGGTACCAGCCATTAGTCTGTGTGATTAATGGGGGCAGAGCAAGAGCAGTGTTTATGAGTCAGGGGCGGATCCCGAAGGGGCCCGGGGCCGCGTCTTTTTACAAAAACTTCTGTAG